ACTTCTATAATCACAGATTTCGCCAAGACTATAGGTACTATAGACAGATACTAAGAAATGCAAGAAAGGTAATCTATTCTTTTTTTAAGGGATTTTATGACCTGGTAACTAAGACCTTTAAGGTCATGTCTTATTTTAATTTATATTCTTATTTATATGAAAAATGATAATAATATTATTATAGAGTGATATGAAATGAAGATGATTAATTTGAGATCAACTGAGATAAAATGAAATGAAATGAGATGAGATGATATGGGATGAAATATAATCTCAGTAAAATGGTGGTCACCGTGTAATAAAAATCAAACCCGCAAAATTATAATTTGCGTAATTACTGGTGGTAGGACCTCTTGAGAGTCCGCGCGGGTAGGTACCACCACCCCGCCTATTTCTGCCGTGAAACAGTAATGCGTTTCGGTTTGAAGGGTGGGGCAGCTATTGTATCTATATTGAGACCTTAGATGTCTATGGGCTCCAGTAACCACTTTGCGCCGGGTGGGCTGTGAGCTCGTACGCCCATCTAAGCAATTAAAAAAAAAAGTTGTCGGTAACAATGGCGTCGCATGAAGCCGGTTGCCATAACCGAAAAACAAAACAAAAAACAAAAAAAAGTTTTGTTAATTAGAACTGCGACCCGAAGCCGTCATCTAGAATTTTCCAAAATACGATTCGAATTAAGAGAAAGCTTACAATAAGAAAAAAATATAAGGGCGTCCACATACGGCAGTCACGCGTGACTTCACGTAGAGTCGCACGTGACTTCGTAATGATCTCGTGTGCGTCCGCCCTACGCTCCGTTTTGTTCGGCACTTTTATAAACAATAGTCAGACACGCGACCAGACGCTTTAATTAAACAATGCGCGATCAATGATTTGGAAAACCGATGACGTGTTTTTGTTTTTTGTTTTTCTTCTTTGTTTCATGGAGAATGCTCGGAGGAATTATTCGAGATGATCCCTTCATCTTCTATTTATCATCGCACCTCCCGCCATCGGAGCAGAGTTCGTCCATATTATCTGGAAGCGCTGCGTTCATCGACAGTGCGTTTCCAGAGATCTTTTCTGCCACGTATCATCCGGCTTTGGAATGAGCTCCCCTCCACGGTGTTTCCCGAGCGCTATGACATGTCCTTCTTCAAACGAGGCTTGCGGAGGATACTTAACGGTAGGCAGCGGCTTGGCTCTGCCCCTGGCATTGCTGACGTCCATGGGCGACGGTAATCACTCACCATCAGGTGGGCCGTATGCCCGTCTGCCTATAAAAGCAATAAAAAAAAGTTTTAGTAATTATTGACCAATGATGGGGATACTTTACCGCACAGTGAAGGAGGAACTTTTTTTTACATTATCATCGCTGATAGTCTAAAAGGCTATCTCAGCTATGCGCGGACGGGTAGGTGAGCTCACGGGCTCAACCTGAGAGAATTTGCTAACACTAGCCCTAGCAAGAGCAGTGCTTCACTGAATCTACCACTGGATCGCAATTGCGACTCTTTTTTTTTTCCTACCTAAGCTGATAGCCTTGAGAGGCTATGTCAGCGTAGCCGGGCGAGTAGGTGAGCTCACGGCGCTCAAACCGGGAGTGTTGCTAACACTGGCCCTGGCATGAGCATTGCTTCGCAGAATCTACCACCGGATCGGAAACGCGACCCACTGAGAAGATACGGCGAGGAACTCTGCGGGCTGTGTCTGTGGGTTTAATTTTTAACGACAAATCAGCTACTGCACTTCTTCAGGCTAGCTAGCACCATCCTATTATAATATTATTATAATGTTACTCAAAATATAACAATAAGGGTCAAGTAAGTAGGAAAAAATTTGCAATCACTTAATAAATTAAATTTTCCCGAAACTAAGCGAGGGCGGATCGCTAATATCAAGATAAGATTTATAGAATAATAATAAAAAGAATAAAACAGATATGTATCATATTTCTACATTCTACACTATGGCGATTTTGAGATTCAGTGCCTTTATAAAGACATTGAAAAAATCGTAAAACTTTCATTACGATATAAAATTCCGCGGTGTTTTGTTGTGTGCTGAGAATTATGGTAATTAATGTAAATGAAATTTGAAGTCGTCGTGGCCTAAAGGATAAGACGTCCGGTGCATTCGTGTTGAGCGATGCACCCGTGTTCGAATCCCGCAGGCGGGTACCAATTTTTCTAATACGTACTCAAAAAATGTTCGCGATTGACTTCCACGGTGAAGGAATAACATTGTGTAATAAAAACCCGCAAAATTTAATTTGCATAATTACTGGTGGTAGGACCTCTTGTGAGTCCGCACGGGTAGGTACCACCGCCCTGCCTATTTCTGCCGTGAAGCAGTAATGAGTTTCGGTTTGAAGGGTGGGACAGCCGTTTTACCGTTAAAAGTGAGGCCTTACAGAATCTATAAAGTATACTTAATAAAATAATATATAAATAGTTATACTTACGTTAAAATTTCATTAAACATTTTGTTTTTTTTTTCTAACATAGCCCCAACTATTGTCTTTTAGACAAGTAAAGTAAAAAAATATTCGAATTTGATAAAATGGAAATTAAAATTCAAAGTCCCCAAAACTATTTTGAAGCTTTTGCTTACCTACGGAGCCGAAACGTGGACACTGACTGTGCGACTAGTCCACCAACTAAAAGTTACTCAGCGAGCTATGGAGCGAGCTATGCTCGGTTTGTCATTGCGAGACCGAATACGCAATGAGGTCATTCGGGCAAAAACCAAAGTGATCGATATAGCTCGCAGAGTTAGTAAGCTGAAGTGGCAGTGGGCTGGTCACATATGTCGCAGAACCGATAACCGTTGGGGTAGACGTGTTCTGGAGTGGAGACCGCNTCAAAAATATCGTTTTTATTAAAATATCTCGAACAATAAACATAACCTAAAATGTAAACATTGTCTGATTTTACCAATTTGGCCATTGCTGGGAGACCTGAAAATTGGGCTCATGAAACCTTCTTAGGTATTGTAACTTATGCCCAAATTCTAGCACTGTAACGCCAGGCCCAAGTTTGTATGGATTTCGGGTTTGTCCTTTAGATACGTTCGTTCCCAAACGTTTGCCATTATACAAAGTTATTATATTATATTAAATTAATTAAATATTGAAGGTATGTAGTTACATAAAATCTGTATGGTGACAAAATATATAAATAAAATCATTATATTCAATTAGTGGTCCACCTAAGTCCTGGAACCAGCTCAGGGGGTGGTCATGACCCCCATGACCCCCCCTTGGATCCGCCATTGTAACTGGATGCGTAGAACCGAAGATCGGGTTCAGTGGCGAGCTTTGGGGGAGGCCTATGTCAAGCAGTGTACTGCCGCAGGCTGATGATGATGAAAACTATTTTAGAAAGTACCTCGTTTTAGACCTTTTCTCTGAATACAGTCACTTAAAATCCCGAATGTTACCCTTTTTGTATTGTGTAAAAGAGCGAAAGAGCTCACGGCCCATTTAGTGTTAAGTGGCTACCGAAGCCCATGGGCATCAGCAAAGTAAATACCTTAAGACGTGAGTTCTAGTCTCACTTCTGTCGTAGATAAAACACATAAATTAGTTATAGAAGCAACTTAAGCTCTCAACAAAACCGCTTAGGGGCGTCGCCCACTAGGTGGCTTCGCTTCGATTAGTTTCTCATTGCTCCTGTAGATGGCAGTAACATATTACCTAATTTTCAGAAACCACAAATTGATAAAATTTTATCAATTTGTGATAAAATTTATAAAATTTTATCAATTTGTCTATAACAAATAAAGAATTGTATGGTTTTTATTTTCTGTGATTAGTTATACAGTAATTAAATGCCTTAACTTTAACAACATATAAGTTTAGGAGTGTGCGCTACAAGATGTCACTAGTTTCCGTACAAACAGAATATTTGTCTTAAAGTATCACAGTTTCAGAGCCCTGACTTTTATAGTACAACAGCTCAAGATATAACGTATGACGATCGAAATGGGTGATAGAGGAATTATCAGCAGTAGGCCTTGCTACTCACACACGCACAAGACCATCGTACCTACAAAGTCAGCTATTCCCATTGCTCGTAGACGCGAAAAATTTTCCCAGCAGAATCTCAAGCAAGTCATGTTTGGATACTCCATTGTGTTTTAAAATAGCCCGAGCAAATTCGGCTTTAAATTTTTAACGACAGCGCCATCTATCAAAATTTGTGAAACTGTTAGGTTTTTCTAGCACAAGACTTAAAAATGTGTCACAAACTGCTTATACTTATTCCGCAACAGATGGCGTTAATTTTGAAAATGTTTTTGATAATCTCATGGTATGTACTATGTAGTCAATAGAAGAATTGTATAGTTTAAATTATTAAATCAAACCTATTTCTGCATACAATAAATTTAAATCAATATTATGATTCGATGATCAACTTCAATGTTTTTATATATTTTTATTTTGCTGCGAACATTTCCTGGAGGTTCAACTATTTTTTGCTACCTAATAAATAATAGATGGCGCTGATCTATACAAAATAAAAAACCTTTTTTGTTGATACGAAATTTAATAAGCTCTTTTCAGGATTCTTAAAGCACTATAATTATTTCCATGCTCAATAAACATTAAATTTATTCTATACACATTACATATACACTCACGAGAGAACTATTTAACTGGATTACACTTTTATTAGCTTGAACTGTATACCTATTTATAATTTTCAACGTAATTTCCACAGACTTCGAAACGTCTTGACAATTTGCACATGAATTGCAGACAGATGGTATACAATAAATTTATTACATTGACTTAATACATAGCCGCTTATACAAGGTAGGAGAAAATCGTTTCATCTTTATTGTTTTAAATTATAAGCATTGTATATTCCATTGCGCTTAGAGCGAGTTATTTAACTCCTCGATCACGTAAAAGTTAACTCAAATTTGTATTGAGAATTGAGATGGAACAGCGTCCCTATGTTTGCCGCTAGGGGCGCTGTTCTCCATCAGAAAAAAAAAAACCAAAAACATGCTTAAAAATATACAAATTTATTTCTTAGAGTTAATTTTACAAATAATATAATAGAACTAAAACGCTAATTTCTTCATTAACAAATACATGTGCTGGTCAACTTCGAAGCCGTGCAAGTTGTTCGCGTCCCCTTGCAGCCGCATCAGGAGGCCACCGAACGAGACGTAGGCCGCTAATCTGGATGCCGGCTCCATCGCTGCCTCGTCACCTTCTATCCTGGAATAAGAAGAGCACTTGTATTATTCAATAGATATGGACTTTTTTAATACGCTTTTATTACTGGTGGTAGGACCTCTTGTAAGTCCGCACGGGTAGGTACCACCGCCCCGGTTATTTCTGCCGTGAAGCAGTAATGCGTTTCGGTTTGAAGGGTGGGGCAACCGTTGTAGCTATACTGAAATCTTAGAACTTATATCTCAAGGTATGTGGCGCATTTATATTGTAGATGTCTATGGGCTCCAGTAACCATTTAACACCAGGTGGGCTGTGGGCTCGTCAACAAACCTAAGCAATAAAAAAAAATAAAAAAAGTTGTTTAATTTTTTATTCTTTCCTATGCTGATATAGCCTTGAGAGGGATATAGCCTTGAGAGGCTATATCAGCTTCCCCCTAACGTGTAAGTGAGCTCACGGGGCTCAAACCGGAGTACTGCTAACACTGGCCCTAGCAAGAGCAGTGCTTCGCAGAATCTACCACCGGATCGCGGAAACCGGAAACGCGACCGACTGAGAAGATCCGGCGAGAAACTCAGTGGGCTGTCTGTGGTTTCATTCGCTCGTCGAGCCCTTCGTCGCAAGCGACGGGTTCGAAACATTGATAAAAAGAACTCGAATATGTAGGTATAGAACTGAATTAATTTGTAAATGTGTCATCAAATGGACAAATAAAAAAGTAAAATAGACCTTATCACAACTATGCCTAAAGACTTTTATTACTATGTCCCCTAGGAATGTATCCTCTATAATCCGATATATATAAATTACCATTCCATATTCACGGTTTCTGAAGAGCTTTCACTGTACAATCAATTGCATTAATTTATTTATAATTTCTTATACTAGAAAGTATAAAGGCGGACTTCATGCCATAGGCATTCTCTAACAGTCTACCTTAGGGGAGTGCAGAGATGAAGCTTGGTAGTAGGAGTGGGTAATATCGGTTTTGCCGCGTATCGAATCGTATCTATATATCGAGTATCGATATCGGATATTGAATCTATATATTTTCTGAATCTATATATTGATGGATGCTAATAGATTTTCTCGATTCATGATATTTGAGATTTGAAACGATACGATGATATAGTATTGTAGTAGATATAGATTCAAGTCAACGTTATACGGTTGGTTTTCTGATATCAATTTATAATAATAATATGATTTTAAAGTAATAAAAAGAACATGAAAATTAAAATATCAAAAAAACTTTTCTTCGTGCTTTTACCAGGCTTAGGACCGGCTACATTTTCAGTTTTTAGTATTTTGTGTCTTAATTTAAAATTACAAAATATACCAAAAGAGTGTAGATTAGGTAGAATATTTCATAATACTAAATACATATATTTTAGGTAACATTCGCGATTTCGTTCGCGCCTAAGGTACCTAACGTGAGTATTGCCTAGATGAATTCTCGAGAAAATATCGGAGACGTATTTAGAAGTTCATTTGATAATATTTATACATCATACACTACAAAATTAATTCAGAAATTTTATTATTTACTAAGTTTATGTTAAAATAAAAGTTTCTAAACTTTCAAAAGTTTAATACAAACACAACAAATAAACTCAATTATTTGGTTTTAACTAAAAATAGAAAAATGTGTACTTTAAAAATCAAACACAAAAAACTTTTAAGTATTTATAAACACTTATCCAAAAATTTTAGTTCAAGGTCAAAGCGCGTGAAATTAAATTCAACGGTGCAAATAGGCTATACTGCATTCTAATTAGGGTCGAAAGTTGAAACTTTTTTCCTAAATTGTATCCTGCTGATACACTAAGAATAATCTACAGACGTATGGACTTAAATATAAGGTTTNAAATTCAACGGTGCAAATAGGCTATACTGCATTCTAATTAGGGTCGAAAGTTGAAACTTTTTTCCTAAATTGTATCCTGCTGATACACTAAGAATAATCTACAGACGTATGGACTTAAATATAAGGTTTATAATTGTATGGATAATGCCTGTTTCTGTTTCATTCATCATATGTGAGTGAGCGCACGATAGGGATATCGTCCGCTCACTGGCCGATTCGATACGAACCAAACGAATATTCCTGATATTAACGAATCGGTACGATACGCCGATGCGCATCACATCGAGCAATATCGTGTATCGACTGATATCGTTATATAGATTTCGATTCACGAATCGGTACGATATGCCGATGCGCATCACATCGAGCAATATCGTGTATCGGCTGATATCGATATATAGATTTCGTGCGGGGCGATATCGGATTCAACAATATTGCTGCGATATATAGATATTGAATCTATATACGATTTATATCACCCACTCCTACTTGGTAGGTGTAGTGTGAAGGTGATATTACTTAAGCATATGTGTATATATAACATACATAATATTTATAGATACAAATACTCATACTTAAATAAATACATATACATAAATATATAGATATATATATATAAATATATGGATATACATATCATAATATATACATATCATAATATATACATATAAAAACATTTATAAATAAATATTATCAATTAGATGAATCTGCTAACTCTCTGAGAAACAGTTCTCGAACCTTCGTCTTAAACGCTTCACGTGTAGTGGCCGACCTTATCTTGAGTGGGAGCGCATTCCATAGAAGAATAGACTGAATAGTGAATGAAGAATGTAAAAAGTCAGAACTATGTGGAGGACAGCGAAGAAGAAGATTGTGAGATGAATGAAGATATCGGCTGTGGTCAGATCCTAAGTATTGAAAGGAAGTAGTTAAATAAACAGGTGGATTTGGGGATTTTAAATACAACAGTTATTAGCCCAACAATGATTACTTTGCAGTAGTTCCAATGGAATACTTTTCCACTCATCTACAATCATCCAGACTACTTCAGGGACAAGAATATATTTAATTTTTCATACCGGAGTATAAATAGTAACACAAACAGTATATCAAGTCATTGTCCTTACGTACACGTAACACAGTTAAGTGGACTGATATCCTGCTAAAGGTCACAGGAATGCACAGGACTGGCCATTGTGGTGAGCCATGGGAGAGGTCTGTGTCTTGACGTTTGTGGGCTGACGATGATGATGAAACCCACAAAATTTATGATTAATTTGATTCCAGATACCTCATATTGTGGGAAGGTGCCACTCTGCCTATGTACAAAACTCATAATACTGTTAAAGTGGTTTATATAGGCTTTATAACCACTCGGATATTACAAGTGTTCATCATCATCATCACCATCATTATCATCATCACTAGCCGACAGTCGTCCCCTGCTGGACATAGGCGTCTCCCAATCTACATCACTGAGCCGTTTTCGGCTCTCATCCACTTCAACATCAAATTGAGGAGCTAATGTGACAGGTAGCTTCACTATAAGGATAGATTTCCACTGAGGACATGATTTTGCTCGGTAATCCGACGTTCCGAATATGATCGTTAGGAACTTGTTTAATTGCCAACTGCATCTGTAAAATATCTTCTGTTGTACGATAGCTGCCGCTACAACACCTTTATGTTAGAGCTAACCTGTATACTTTTCCGGACATGACATATTCGAAACTATCTGCTCGATTTCCTTCGGTCTCCAGCGGGTTCCATTCTCCGCCGTCAGGGTATCCGTTTTCCCTCAACGTCGTAGCCAAAACTAGACGAAACTTTTCGCCTAGTTGCATTGGATATATCCAAGAATTAATGTCCAATATTAAATCCATTTTGAATGATTCCGATTCGCAATGCAATCGGCTGACTCTGTCGAACTTTTTGCCCTCCGGATCCATGTCTTTGACGTTGAAAATGTCCTCGAATAGCACACCCGCCATGATCAAGTTTTATCCTGTGAATTTATTTTACTAAAACAATATCAACAACGAACAGTATGAGAAAGAAGCACGCTGACTCTGTTGCTGTTTGAAATTTTACGGCACTAAAAAAAACATTGATAATAAATGTCAATGTCAAGTGTGACTTCTTTTTTGAAGTATAGGTACTGAATATTTGGATACTTCGGCGGAATATCTCACACTGAAAAAAAGTATCCCATTTTACCTATATTATATATTTGGACTACTTAGATTTGTTTTTACTAGTTAGTTCCTATTTAAAGTGAGAGTGAAAGAAGTTGATAAGGATTTGGTTGGAGGGCAAGGTGTTAAATAGTTATTTTTTTGGGTTCTACTATAAAATCTATTGGACTTTAAGCAAATTCCCAACTATGAAGATAATGGGTTTCCTCTCATTCAATAACTTTATATTGTACGTTCCTTTTTGATATTAATATAGCTTTTATTACAAAGTTCGGCTGCATAGTTTTAGTTCTCTTTGCCTATCTATGATATATAATGATAAATAGGCCAAGACAATGTACGAAATTTAGGAGTTGAATAAATCTATATTTCGGTCTACGTTTAAGTTCTATTTGCTCTTCAATATTTTTAGTGTAAGTAGTGACTACGATATTTCGTGGCATTTTTTGGAAATCGTTTTTGTTTTTAAGTGTCGAAAACTAACAAAATATTATTAAAATTATCAATAATAAACGAAAAAGTATAAAACTTCAGTCTAATAAAAATATTACATGTTTATGTTCTGCTTTAAGGTTAAAAAAATTAACAAGTATCCGAATTATTTTCTGTTTTAATGTTGGCACAACGAGCTTTGCACGTTGGCGCCATCTGACCATAATCATGCGCAAACAAATCTGAAGCTAACCTCAACCGAATCGCACGTGCTATATGGCCGAGCATTGTGTTATATTTTCAAAGTTCTTTCAATAAACAGTGCCCGATTATAGGGCATTGTTTACCCAAGTGATTGCGTCGATCGCCTAAAATTAAGAGTAAGAAAAGATACGTGTTAATTCATCAAAATGACGGAGGTACTGCAGCCCGGTAACGAGACACTTTCTGAGAAGAAAAAGAAAAAAAACAAGGATGGTGTTTCGTTGGGAGCTTTTCAGACGATTGGCGACTTCAAAATCGAACCTTCGGAGAGCGTGAAGAAGCTGGACACCGCTTACTGGCCTTTGTTGTTGAAAAACTTCGATCGCTTAAATGTGCGCACTAACCATTACACGCCGCTACCATTCGGCAACTCGCCTTTAAAACGCCCCATCTCTGATTACGTCAAATCTGGCTTCATTAACGTCGACAAACCGAGCAATCCCAGCTCCCACGAAGTAGTTTCATGGATAAAACGTATTTTAAAAGTCGAAAAGACTGGTCATTCGGGCACGCTCGATCCGAAAGTTACGGGTTGCCTTATCGTTTGCATAGACCGCGCCACGAGACTCGTCAAATCACAACAGAACGCCGGCAAAGAGTATGTAGCCGTTTTCAACTTGCATTCAGCCGTAGAGAATATTCAAAAAGTCACACAGGGCTTGGAGAAGCTGCGTGGAGCTCTATTCCAGAGGCCCCCGCTTATATCGGCCGTGAAGCGACAACTGCGTGTCAGGACGGTGTACGACAGTAAACTCCTGGATTTCGACCAGGACAAGAATATTGGGGTGTTCTGGGTTAGTTGCGAGGCTGGATCGTATATCCGGACGATGTGTGTGCATTTAGGTCTGATGCTTGGCGTCGGAGGTCAGATGATCGAACTCAGACGAGTACGGTCCGGCATTCAGGGCGAGAAGGAAGGCATGGTCACGATGCACGACATCCTAGATGCACAATGGTCGTATGAAAACCACAAAGACGAGACTTATCTTCGTCGAGTAATCAAACCTCTGGAAGGCCTCCTGATTGCTCACAAAAGGATATTTATCAAAGATAGCGCCGTTAATGCTGTTTGCTACGGAGCTAAAGTGCTGTTACCAGGTATTTTAAGATACGAAGACGGTATCGAAGTTGACCAAGAAATCGTAATAGTCACCACTAAAGGTGAGGCAGTAGCGTTGGCCGTTGCTCTGATGACCACGTCTACGATGGCCTCATGCGATCATGGTGTAGCCGCGAAACTAAAACGTGTCATAATGGAACGAGACACGTACCCCAGAAAATGGGGTCTCGGACCGAAAGCTTCACAGAAAAAAATCCTCATACAACAAGGGAAACTTGACAAATATGGCAAACCAAATGAGAACACACCAAAAGAATGGTTAAACAGTTACGTCAACTATAATGTTAAGAAAGAACCGGAGAATGGTGACGGTGTCGAGGAAGGCAGCAGAAAGCGAACGGCAAGCACAGCTAACGCAGAAGATCCCGATGTCTCCATAGAGGTGAAGCAGGAAAAGAAGAAGAAGAAGAAAAAGAGAGATAGTGAAGCCCCGTAAGTACTGGTTCTTTGCATTTTGATTATTTGTAGTCCAAAAACTGGACCAAGGTGGTCACGACCCTCAGCAATGAGGAAACGACAGAGAAGAAGAAGTGGGATTCAGACAGTTATGGTGTCTGGTTTCAAGGATTTGTTATTACAAACTAAGTGAGGTTTTTTTTATATATATATTTTTTATTGCTTAGATATGGGTGGCCGAGCTCACAGCCCACCTGGTGTTAAGTGGTTACTGGAGCCCATAGACATCTACAACGTAAATGTGCCACCCACCTTGAGATATAAGTTCTAAGGTCTCAATATACAACGGCTGCCCTGCCTCTCAAACTGAAATGCATTACTGCTTCACGGCAGAAATAGGCAGGGTGCTGGTACCTATCCGTGCAGACTTACAAGAGGTCCTACTACCAGTAATTACGCAAATTATAATAAATGATGTCTGTATAGTGAGAATTACTGTGGCAGTACTATGCTTTATTTTTATGTGTTTATTTATTTGGGAAACAGCCCAAAACAAACATAATATGTTACAAATAGGCAAACAAACAAACTCCACATGGTGTCCGCTGTCAACGTCAAATATGATTGTAGAAAGAACAAAGAAAAAAGAAATTTATAAATTAAGATTACAAAAAAACAACACAATGTTCACATCCACATGATTCATCTTCTCGGATTAAAACTGTATAATCGCAAAATTTACTAATTTTACAGGAGAGTTAAACATGTGATATTTTAAATATTAATCATCTTGAAGCATTTTTTTTTTTACCTGTTACATTATCTGTCTTTTAAAGTAAGATAAAATGATGTATTAATTTTGTTAATAGTATTCAAAATATAGGAACTAAAGAAAAAAAACGAAACTATGCTCTTTTGACAGTATTTATGAGAAAAATACTGGTGATACCAAATGATTCTGCAATTAACTCAATTTTGAATATTTTTGGAAATTGTACACTTCTAATGCGAAATAGACGATATATATTTTAAACCTTACTAATACACATTAAAGCTAATGCCTCTCAAAAATATTCCAAAATTACATTTCTATATGCTACAAGTGATAAACGAAATATGCTGTAAGATCTGGATGAACTTTTTCTTTTATTGCATATGTGGGTGCTGGAAAATTCATTAAAAACTATTTCTGTCTGTCCTCAAGCTTTCCCTTCTAGTCTTATGCAGAACAAATATACTTGTTTGTACGATTATAAAGCCCTAGCTTATTGTGCTTTATTTATACACATTTATATTACAATCTATTCAATTTCTTCATAATTCCAGTGCCGAAGCAGACGCCACTATGGATACATCGGAGTCACCAGAAACAGCAGAACAACCAGCAGATGATTCTGTACGCAAAGAGAAGAAAAAGAAAAAGAAGAAAGATAAACAAGAGGTTGATGAATGAATTTGATGTTGCAAAACAAACAGTTTGTAGATTTTAAACTGAGTTACGTTTAGATTTGAAAGACAACATTGTACAGCTTATATTAAGAAATTGCATTTATGAATACAATAATCGGATATATAAATGTAAAAAGTTGGAGATTTCATATTGAATTAATTGAAACAGAAACAAGATTAATGAAATAAGTATTCTATTCGTAGCAGAAGGTATTTTCACAAAATTAAATGTAATTAATCTAATTTGTAATCAGTGAAAAAAATCTCACACCATCTCTATCAATAATATGTATGGAAATTTAAAAACAAAACTGCTATGTTAAGTATATAAAATTTATTGGTAAATTGGTACCCTTTATTGGTAAACATTTTGAAAACTAAACACCAAAATGGATTATTCAAAAAGTATCTAAAGTGAACATTTATTAACAAGGCAAGTTTAGGCAACCAGGAAAAATACCGATTACCTTCAAATTTAATTAAATTTCAATATGGCTGCTTTTCACGAAGGCGTTGACCTTGTCTCTCAGCCGATTCTGACAATTTGGTTACATTGTGTGTTGTCAAGAAACTTCAATAAAAGTAATTTTCATTTTGAATATTAACTTCAAATCAAACTTAACTTTATGTTTGATTTTACTGAAATAGTTTCTTTACACATTAAGAATATTAAGTGTAATTACGAAGTAACATATGTACCCATAAATATGTCATAAGAAATGGACATGGTATTAATTGAGAATGGTTCTCTTTTAAGCGTAAAAAATATATGTAAATTCAAATTTTGATGTAGTTCCGTTTGGAATGGACAAATGTCTATGGCGTTTACAATATTTTAACTTTAGCAATATGTTACATTGTGATTTAGCATGTAAACTACTTAAAAAATACTGTTTTTTGAAGTTATACTTCTTTAGGCGCGTTATGAAAAATTGATGAGAGTGAAATTTTACGATGCGTGCGCACCGTGACACAAAATTAACAGAATGAAGTTGCCCACTAAATCGCTCATTACAATACGACCGACGTAACTTGGCTAGTCTGAATATAGCCGCAGGTGAACTGTCCGAACCGTACCGAGAATTACCGAATTTATACGATATCAAGAAAAGGGATGTCCAATATGCGTGTTTGAGGATGTTGTTTAAACGATTTTTTTTTCAAATTGACTAAAATGTAAATAAAAAAAAAGAGATTTAAAAATAATAAAGTATAACTTCTTACGCGCGTACATAAGTACACGCACCTTTTTATATGTCTAATCTATTGTGTCAAAGAGAGTCTTAAACATTGTCAAAGAATATATATTCTAATCCACATTTAATTGATTAGTTAGTAATCTTTGACACTATTGTAGTGTTACAGATCCAATTTGATAATCATGTGTGTGTTCTAGCCACCCACAACTCGACAAAATCTTGTGTGAATTTTTTTTATATGAATATGCATTACATAAATAGAGTATGCATGTATAATAATAACTCCCAACTGCTCCAGACTCTCTTTTAACAGAGCTGAAATCATTGGCCAAAAAAAAATTAGCCATTTCCGTTCTAAAACTCCAATCCATAAAATTGCCGAACTCAATGTTCAAATTGCTAAAGTTAAAATTTTGTAATTTGTCGTCGTTTATTAAAACATTGTACATTGTTAAGATAGTTTATAAGATTAGTTCATAAGTGGTACGAATGAACAATGACGAATGATGTTTTTTTTTTTTCAAAATAAAAGTCCCTAACAACTCTTTTGTATTTTTTAGTGCTTAAACTTGATTCGGAAACAAAAACCTCAAAATAAATTTATAGAAATTTCTTGAACAATAAAACAATTTTAATAAGCAAATTAATTAATAGGAAAAATGGCATCTTTCAATGCCGTTCTTGTCAATGTCTACCAATTTTTGAATTATTTTGATAAGATAATACATTTTCTTGATAATCTATCCTTTATGTTGCCATAAATTCAGTCTATTTGCCAAGCAATAGATCGTAATGGCTAGGCCATGTTTGGCGATAGGATAGTCTGTGGTGTTTTTGTCCCAATTTTTTTTTATTAAAAACTTAATAACATTGCATTTATGATACGGGTGTAAATATATTTTATTATTTTTGCAATAATAATAAGCCTTTCCCAACAATAAAGGCACAGTGGTAGGTATAATAGTTTTTATAAGTATATGTTATATACATAAATCTATGCGACTGTATTTAGTTAAGATTTATAAAAATAAAATTAGATTATAGGTTATACGCGGCTTTGCGTGTAAAATCTATTTTGCAAAATTCTGATCGCTTCGCATGCCGACAATTTTTAATTAGGTGTCGTAAGCTTAAAACTAAAATAAAATGCACTATATTTTATATAATTATATTGTTCCTTTGTTTTAGAATTAGTTTTTTTTTAATCATTTTGAGCGGGTGAAATCTAGATTAGAATTTTAAATGTCATTGACGTATTTAAGTCTTTGAAAATGCTTACCCCTTGTAGAGTAACACTAACCAATCTAACCATAGATGAGACATATTATTATATAGACAGCATAACACTGGTGGAAGATAAAACGTATTTACGACTTTGCGTCTCATTCAGTCGTTCGTGACCTTGGAAGTCGTAAAGAAAAGAAAGATAAGATAAATAAAATTACTTTACGGCTCATTCAAACGCCTGTGACCACAAAAACTGAAGAAGAAAAAACCCGGAAATACTTAATTTAAAATGACAATAAAAAACAAGAGGTTAAACCGTGAAGTTGTATTAAAAAAAGCATTTAAGCTTAAGTTCAAGTGAAGTTCTAAAAGTCTAAATATAAATTTTAAATCCAATATAAATCCAATTATTTGAGGGTTTGAGACCTCTTGGAGTCAATAAGGTATTTGAGTCGTCTATTATCAAAGCCGGCAATCTGACTTTTGAACAATATTGGTAAATCAGAAAAACGAATTATTGACTTTGTATTCCATTGGCAGTCACAAAACTCTTCGGAACGACATCTTACATAAATAACAGGCTAACTATTAACCTTTATTTAATGCAGGTTTTGAACCGTATTCTTTGAAGGAGACGATTATATTAAAATCAATCTGTATTAACATATCAATAACATTTTTTTGTCCAAATGCACAGATTGCCACCTTTGATAATAGACGACTCATTTAGTTTTGTCAGATGGTAAGTAAAATATCATCTTGAGTTTATATTTGTAAGTACGTAATGGAGGAAGATTTTTGTGACATTGAAATAAACTATTTTTAAGGAAAAATTTGTTTTATTCTGGGATTTGATTTGACAAGTATTTTTTAAAGATAGTTTAAGACTACGCCAGTCTGTACAGACGGTATATACAGGGTGTCCCGTAAATTAACTATTTACAACTAATCTGGATATTACACCGGTCACTCACATGCGCACGAATACGCAAACCCACAAGTGTAGGACGACATTTGCGAATGATAATGCAAAGTTTTCGCTGCATTCGTGGTTTTCCAAGCTGTGTCGGTTTTTTAACAGACATCAAAGCGCGCGAACCTCGAACCTTCGCATAGTTTCCCACACATTCGCTTGCCCAGTTGCGCCGACGATTGCGAAGGTAACGGACGTATACTATACGCCATTTTCATAGTTCGTGACGTCTACTGTGTAGCGTATCTTCATCAAAAGAAATCCCATAAAAACATAATGGATGTTAATGATATCTGGGAAATAGTTAAAAACTCTTTTTCTCTTCAATGTTCTATTGACGAATTAAAAAGAAGGAGAAATTCGTGAGACATTCATAAACAAGTGTAGGAGGAAGCGCAAACGGGTTCGCAAATTGAGTATGCGAACCCATTTGCACAGCCGCTAGGTTTGCGAATGAATGTTTGACGGCCCTTCACATGCGCGCAAATATTCGTACATTGTACGAATGTTTGCGTGTCAGTGGCCGGCATTAATTTTGAAATCGTAGGGTTGTCAATAAAATATTTTTTTTTTAGATTTTCCTATCAAATTTTGTACTGGGCCAACGAATATCAAAAGGGGAATCTATATGTATTATTGTGTATGGCTTAAAATTATCTGATAAATAAATGCATTATTATAATTGTTAATTTAAAAAAAATATCTTTGCATAATGTTATCAATTAGTAGATAATAGAAATATCAGCTTACCTCTTAGAGAAACAAGGTCAGAAACGGTGAAATTTTCTCTTAAATGATGATTATCATTAGTCGTTGCACTGCTCTATAGAGATTCCCCGCCATGAGAAACCTCATAATGGACCGCTTAAATAAACTATTGAACAGAGGCATCACTGAATCAAATTTCCCCAAACAAGCTATTGAACAGAGGCCTCACTGAATCACATGTCCCCAAACAAACTATTGAACAGAAGCATCACTGAATCAGATGTCCACAAACAAACTATTGAACAGAGGCCTCACTGAATCACATGTCCACAAACAAACTATTGAACAGAAGCATCACTGAATTAGATGTCCACAAACCAGCTATTGAACAGAGGCCTCACTGAATCACATGTCCCCAAACAAACTATTGAACAGAAGCATCACTGAATCAGATGTCCACAAACAAGCTATTGAACAGAGGCCTCACTGAATCACATGTCCCCAAACAAACTATTGAACAGAGGCATCACTGAATCAGATGTCCACAAACAAGCTATTGAACAGAGGCCTCACTGAATCACATGTCCCCAAACAAACTATTGAACAGAGGCATCACTGAATCACATGTCCCCAAACAAACTATTGAACAGAAGCATCACTGAATCACGTCCCCAAACAAGCTATAGGACAGAAGCATCACTGAATCGCATGTCCCCAAGCAAGTTATTGGATAGAAGTATCACTGAATCACATGTCCCCAAACAAACAATCGGACAGAAGCATCACTGAATTGCATGTCACCAAAACAGGCTATTGGACAGAGGCATCACTGAATCGCATGTCCCCAAGCAAGTTATTGGATAGAAGTATCACTGAATCACATGTCCCCAAACAAACAATCGGACAGAAGCATCACTGAATCATATGTCCCCAAACAAACTATTGAACAGAAGCATCACTGAATCACATGTCCTCAAACAAACAATCGGACAGAAGCAT